AGAACCTGGGTGAGCCCTGGGTTCAAGGGACTGCTGAGTGCACTACACGCAAAAAAAGTGTACACCAAAAAAGTAGTAACTTTTTTACACAAAAAGTAATAATACTAATGAAGCTGTATTAAATCTTAGCATCTTCTGTACACTTCATCACTGATTTTTTTTTTTTTTTAAATTAGATTTTTCTTTTTATGTTAAGACCTAATACTTTTTTGGTGTATTCTCCCTCCCGGAAAGCTGTCTGTCCCTCACCCATGGGTATCTGCCTACAGGTAGCTCCAGGCTGACTTCAAAAGCTTCCTGAGAATTAACCAGACCTTTCTTCTGCCCTGCTGTGGGGAACCGAGTCTGACCTTTGTGGGTACCAGGTGGAGAGATTTATTTTCTGATAGCTGAGTGAAAAATCTGCAGTCCATTTGCTGACGGTATCGTTTAAAAATGCTCTTTTAGCCAGTCCTTTTTAATCAGAAATTCAGTACGGAGCCAAGGTGGGGCAGGCAGACTGGAGGGAGGCAGGAGAATGCCGAAGGAAGAGGGAGACTCCAGGTACAAAACTTGCCTCATGTTTCTAACCAAGCCTGGAATCAGTGCATTAATTCAATGTACATAACAGTCCGTGTTAATGTACAGTAACACACTGTGTGTTTCCGACCTTGAGGACTGTCAGTAAATCCTTAATCCCTGCAAAATGATTTGCTCCGTACTGTTTAGCACTAAAGTTTTAAATCAGAAAGCTCATTACCTCTTTTCAGCTGCATTAATAACTATAATCTCTTTGATGAAAGCAGCTTCATTGGACAGGATTTAATTTCAAAAAAACCCATCTGGACTGGCATTAAATATACTTCTGCCATTTAATTCTTCCCCAGTGAAGAGCCCGTGTCGGGTCAGCCGGCAGCTCGGGGCAGCCCGTGTCGGAGCTCAGGCAGAAGGTGAAGGCTTCCCCCGACTCCTCATCCTTCCCGGTGTTGGAAGCGTTGGGAAGCTTATCCGGAGCGGGTCGGACACCTCTCCGCGGGCTCCCACGTGGGATTTATCTGAACCTGCTGATTTCAGCATTCGTGCTGATGCTATTTCACACGTTTCTTTGGCTGCTAAGGGAGCACGCCGACTGGGCCAGTTTGCGTTCTGGCGCTTGAGGCTGGATTCTCAGCGAGTGCTCCGTACTTTTTGCTTCATCACTTCATTCAGTTTAATCTCTGTTCCTTACCAAAGAGCTCGTCCTGTTTCTAACATTTCTTTTCTTGGTTAACAGCTAAACAGCAGCAGTGACAACAAAAGAATATGCAGTTTTATCATTAAATTTTCCTTCCAAGGGTTTTCCTTTCATCTCTAAGTTCCTTTAGTTTTCTACATTTCAGATTTTCTAACATGTATTCATTTTGTTGTCTGTATCCCCCCTTTTTTTTTTTTCCCCCTTTATAGTACACTCTCTTTTTAATTGCAGCTTTTATGTCTGTGTTTGCTGAAGAGGTTTCCAGCCAGGTTTGGCTGTTCTGACTTGCAGCATCCCCGTCGTGGCTGCAGCTTCTTGACACTTAATAAACCCTGAACTCCCGGCGTTTGCGCCGAGGTTTATCCATGTTTCTCCTACTCCATAATTCCATTCGTAGTGTTGACTTTGAGAAACTGATCTTTTTGAAGTGACAATCTATTTTTGAGTGAATTTGGAGAGCGTGAAACTGTGAGGAAGCCAGAAGTCTAAACCTGTCAAGATTTGAACATTTTCCTGCTCTCCGTGCTTTTTACGGTGTGACTACGAACGGTGAGCGCGGTGGTGACGGCGGGGACGTTTTAAACGTTTTGCAGAGCTTCCTGATTTTCCTGCTTGCTGCAGTGGGGATTTTTCTGCTGGATAATGTGGTTCCCCTCTCGTTATCTAGTACCACTGATAACACTGCCTCCAACTGTCAGGCTGCTCCTGCTCCACCGCTGAAAATTTGGGAAAAGGTTTAAAGGGAACTGGATAAAATACGATTACACGTAACCAGCTGACAGCTCTTGATAAGAGCCCGGATGCTGCTCCCCACTTGTTTTGTTTGCCCCTGTGAAGTTTTCTGCCTTGCTACGTGCTGCTTGATTTTTACGAAGCCGAAGAAGTGGTTTGTTCTGGTGTAGCTGGGAGGGAGCCTGAGGAGCCGCTCGGGTGAGAAATCTGCACCATCTTCGGTGCCTTTTGTCCTTCTTGTGTTTAACAACCAGTTCTGGATGTTGCAGATAGTCAGTCCTATCGCCGTGGAAGTGGAGAAGGTGGTTGGAAGAGAGGTGAAGAGGGGATCCGTTTGGGTGATTGGCAGCAGCCAAGATAAGGTGGCAGCCAAGGTGCTGCCCTGGCAGGGGGCTCCCACCGCCGGGTACCCGCGGCTTCTGCGAGGGAACTGGGAAGCAAACGCTCTGTGTCTGCTGGGATGGGTCAAGCAGCCTCCAGCACCTGTCCCAGCCTCCCCCCGCCTCGCCGTCCCTCGCTATATTTACCCGGGAGGAACTTCCCAAGAATGGAAGTGGTAAGATAAAACCCCTGAGGGGCTAAAATTAGCCCCAGCGCCCTTCTCCCTGCGGTGGCATTTCAGCTGTGAGCTTGACAGCCTGCGCCGTTCCGGTCGCACCGAGCGGACGTCCATCCCGACACAGCGAAATCCTCTCTTTTTCTCTCCTTTTTCTTTTTTTTTTTTGTTGTTTAAACCGAGGGAGAACTCGCCATGGGACCACCGCTGCCTCGCCCGCCCTGGCCGTGAGCATCACCGCCCTCCCGAAGGTACGGCGG